CACTATAGTGACCAGCCACCACACACAACACTATAGTGCCACCACACACAACCAGCCACCACACACAACACTATAGTGACCAGCCACCACACACAACACTATAGTGACCAGCCACCCACACACACAACACTATAGTGACCCAGCAACACACCAGCCACACACAACACTATAGTGACCAGCCACCACACACAACACTATAGTGACCAGCCACCACACACAACAACACTATAGTGACCAGCCACCACACACACAACACTATAGTGACCAGCCACCACACACACAACACTATAGTGACCAGCCACCACACACAACAACACTATAGTGACCAGCCACCACACACAACACACCAGCCACCACACACAACACTATAGTGACCAGCCACCACACACAACACTATAGTGACCAGCCACCACACACAACACTATAGTGACCAGCCACCACACACAACAACACTATAGTGACCAGCCACCACACACAACACTATAGTGTCCAGCCACCACACACAACAACACTATAGTGTCCAGCCACCACACACAACACTATAGTGTCCAGCCACCACACACACAACACTATAGTGTCCAGCCACCACACACAACACTATAGTGTCCAGCCAGTGTCCAGCCCACACACAACACTATAGTGTCCAGCCACCACACACAACACTATAGTGTCCAGCCACCACACACAACAACACTATAGTGTCCAGCCACCACACACAACACTATAGTGTCCAGCCACCACACACAACACTATAGTGTCCAGCCACCACACACAACACTATAGTGACCAGCCACCACACACAACACTATAGTGTCCAGCCACCACACACAACACTATAGTGTCCAGCCACCACACACAACACTATAGTGACCAGCCACCACACACAACACTATAGTGTCCAGCCACCACACACAACACTATAGTGTCCAGCCACCACACACAACACTATAGTGTCCAGTCACTACACACAACAACACTATAGTGACCAGCCACCACACACAACACTATAGTGTCCAGCCACCACACACAACACTATAGTGACCAGCCACCACACACAACACTATAGTGACCAGCCACCACACACAACACTATAGTGACCAGCCACCACACACAACACTAGAGTGACCAGCCACCACACACAACAACACTATAGTGACCAGCCACCACACACAACAACACTATAGTGACCAGCCACCACACACAACACTATAGTGACCAGCCACCACACACAACAACACTATAGTGAGCCCAGCCACCACACACAACAACACTATAGTGACCAGCCACCACACACAACACTATAGTGACCAGCCACCACACACAACACTATAGTGACCAGCCACCACACACAACACTATAGTGTCCTGCCACCACCACAACACAGTGTCCAGCCACCACACACAACACTATAGTGACCAGCCACCACACACAACACTATAGTGACCAGCCACCACACACAACAACACTATAGTGTCCTGCCACCACACACAACAACACTATAGTGTCCAGCCACCACACACAACACTATAGTGTCCTGCCACCACACACAACACTATAGTGTCCAGCCACACACACACAACACTATAGTGTCCAGCCACCACACACAACACTATAGTGTCCAGCCACCACACACAACACTATAGTGTCCAGCCACCACACACAACACTATAGTGTCCAGCCACCACACACAACACTATAGTGTCCAGCCACCACACACAACACTATAGTGTCCAGCCACCACACACAACACTATAGTGTCCAGCCACCACACACAACACTATAGTGTCCAGCCACCACACACAACACTATAGTGTCCAGCCACCACACACAACACTATAGTGTCCAGCCACCACACACAACACTATAGTGTCCAGCCACCACACACAACACTATAGTGTCCAGCCACCACACACAACACTATAGTGTCCAGCCACCACACACAACACTATAGTGTCCAGCCAGTGTCCAGCCACACACACAACACTATAGTGCCACCACACACAACCAGCCACCACACACACAACACTATAGTGACCAGCCACCACACACAACAACACTATAGTGTCCAGCCACCACACACAACACTATAGTGACCAGCCACCACACACAACAACACTATAGTGTCCAGCCACCACACACAACACTATAGTGTCCAGCCACCACACACAACACTATAGTGACCAGCCACCACACACAACACTATAGTGACCAGCCACCACACACAACACTATAGTGACCAGCCACCACACACAACACTATAGTGACCAGCCACCACACACAACACTATAGTGTCCAGCCACCACACACAACACTATAGTGTCCAGCCACCACACACACAACACTATAGTGTCCAGCCACCACACACAACACTATAGTGTCCAGCCACCACACACAACAACACTATAGTGACCAGCCACCACACACAACACTATAGTGTCCAGCCACCACACACAACACTATAGTGACCAGCCACCACACACAACAACACTATAGTGACCAGCCACCACACACAACACTATAGTGTCCAGCCACCACACACAACACTATAGTGACCAGCCACCACACACAACACTATAGTGTCCAGCCACCACACACAACACTATAGTGACCAGCCACCACACACAACACTATAGTGACCAGCCACCACACACAACACTATAGTGTCCAGCCACCACACACAACAACACTATAGTGTCCAGCCACCACACACAACAACACTACAGTGACCAGCCACCACACACAACACTATAGTGACCAGCCACCACACACAACAACACTACAGTGACCAGCCACCACACACAACACTACAGTGACCAGCCACCACACACAACACTATAGTGACCAGCCACCACACACAACAACACTATAGTGTCCAGCCACCACACACAACAACACTACAGTGACCAGCCACCACACACAACACTACAGTGACCAGCCACCACACACAACAACACTACAGTGACCAGCCACCACACACAACACTATAGTGACCAGCCACCACACACAACAACACTACAGTGACCAGCCACCACACACAACAACACTATAGTGACCAGCCACCACACACAACAACACTATAGTGACCAGCCACCACACACAACAACACTATAGTGACCAGCCACCACACACAACAACACTATAGTGACCAGCCACCACACACAACAACACTACAGTGACCAGCCACCACACACAACAACACTATAGTGACCAGCCACCACACACAACAACACTATAGTGACCAGCCACCACACACAACAACACTATAGTGACCAGCCACCACACACAACAACACTACAGTGACCAGCCACCACACACAACAACACTACAGTGACCAGCCACCACACACAACAACACTACAGTGACCAGCCACCACACACAACAACACTACAGTGACCAGCCACCACACACAACAACACTACAGTGACCAGCCACCACACACAACAACACTACAGTGACCAGCCACCACACACAACAACACTATAGTGACCAGCCACCACACACAACAACACTACAGTGACCAGCCACCACACACAACAACACTACAGTGACCAGCCACCACACACAACAACACTACAGTGACCAGCCACCACACACAACACTATAGTGTCCAGCCACCACACACAACAACACTATAGTGACCAGCCACCACACACAACAACACTACAGTGACCAGCCACCACACACAACAACACTACAGTGACCAGCCACCACACACAACAACACTACAGTGACCAGCCACCACACACAACAACATTACAGTGACCAGCCACCACACACAACAACACTACAGTGACCAACCACCACACACAACAACACTACAGTGACCAGCCACCACACACAACAACACTACAGTGACCAGCCACAACACACACAACACTATAGTGATCAACCACCACACACAACAACACTACAGTGACCAGCCACCACACACAACAACATTACAGTGACCAGCCACCACACACAACAACACTACAGTGACCAGCCACCACACACAACACTATAGTGATCAACCACCACACACAACAACACTATAGTGACCAACCACCACACACAACAACACTACATTGACCAGCCACCACACACAACAACACTACATTGACCAGCCACCACACACAACAACACTATAGTGTCCTACCACCACACACAACAACACTATAGTGACCAACCACCACACACAACAACACTACATTGACCAGCCACCACACACAACAACACTATAGTGACCAACCACCACACACAACAACACTATAGTGACCAACCACCACACACAACACTATAGTGATCAACCACCACACACAACAACACTACATTGACCAGCCACCACACACAACAACACTATAGTGTCCAGCCACCACACACAACAACACTATAGTGACCAGCCACCACACACAACAACACTACAGTGACCAGCCACCACACACAACAACACTATAGTGTCCAGCCACCACACACAACAACACTATAGTGACCAGCCACCACACACAACAACACTATAGTGTCCTGCCACCACACACCTCACCTTCAGAATCACCTCCACCTCACAGTCACTATCGTCTCCTGTCGATAGTGTAATTAGAGAAGCTCTGTCTCCTGTCCCTCCGTCTCCCGTCCCTCCGTCTTCTGTCCCTCCGTCTCCCGTCCCTCCGTCTTCTGTCCCTCCGTCTCCTGTCCCTCCGTCTCCCGTCCCTCCGTCTCCTGTCCCTCCGTCTCCCGTCCCTCCGCCACCCTGACAATAATTAGCGAGTAGTTTACAAGGCTTCACGTTGCTTCACGCTGACTCTTACACTCCGGTGTTGTTGTTGTTGTTGTTGTTTCAACAGCGGTCTGGAAGAGGTCGTAATGTCTCCCCATTCCTTGTCCCACTCTGTTCCATTACCTACTCCACGCACTGTTCCGTCCCCTCTCGCTCCCTGTCCTACATGTGCCATATTGGCCGTGTTACATGTTGTGTATTATTGATGGTCTATAAAAGAAAGTTGTGTTGTTATTTCCGGCTACAGAGGGAGGCGGTGGTGGCGCGGCTGGTGTACGACAGTGTGAGTCTCCTCTCACACCTCCTGAGGACCAACGTCGGCACCTTCAGGCTCCGGAGGTCACACCGCCCCACCAACCTCACCTCCGAGGCTCTCCTCCTTACCCCTAGCGACGACGCCCAACAACCTCACGTCAAGGACATGCTTGAGGCTCAGCCGGAAGAGGCGGAAGGTCTCCGGAGGAAAAAAAGAATGGAGGGTGAGAAGTGTGAGGCAGACGGACGGTCGCCATGGGAGACACCTGCCGCCCGCGCTGTCTTCGGGTGGTCGCCACCAGTGGCCGCCCTGCTCTCTCAGCGTGAGGTCACGGCTGACGACGAGGCTTCGTCCCTTCTTATCCGTGACCTGAAGGCCAACGTGCGCCTGGCGGAGGACGAAGCTGAGAGGGAGAGACTCTACTTCGAGATGAAGAAGTTAGATAAAGAGAAGGAGGGAAGAGACTTCGAGAGACGGCTGGAGAGCATCATAGGCTCCCGCAGAATCAAGGATCACTCCTTCGGCCCCCAGGGGAAGGCAGAAGGCGCCAACAGGACCCAGATGGAGATGAAGCTCACCAAACCCACCTTCTTCCCCGCACTCTGGGGTGACGGCTTCGTCTCCAGCACCGGGGAGAGGAACTTCGACTTCCTGCTGCTGGACTGGCGACCCGACACCCAGGAGCTGGTCACTGTCCTCCGCCTCGTCCACCACCACACACACTACTCCCAGGTTCGTCACTAACTCTATACTTCCTTTTGGTACATAATAGGTCTTTCTAGCAGGGAGTCCATGTTGCTAGTTGTGCTCCTCGTGGTCAGTGCCCTCAGAGTATCTCTCTCACAGGTTGTAAACCTGCTTAACCCTTACAGTGTGGCTAATGTTAATTGGTTCCCTCAGGTTATTGGGGTTTGATCAATGGATGTTTATGTTAAATTATAAATAAATTCTCTTAATTATCATATATATATATATATATATATATATATATATATATATATATATATATATATATATATATATATATATATATATATATATATATATATATATATGTTGTACCTAGTAGCCAGAACGTCGTTCTCGGCCTACTATGCAAGGCCCATATGGGAGAACTCTGTGTCTATGCTTAATGCACAACTTGCCTAAACACGTTGTATAACTTCTCTTGCGCGTTTAGGCAAGTTGTGCATTAAGCATAGACACAGAGTTCTCCCATATTAACAGGAATTTGATGAAAGAACGTGAGTAGCTCCCCTCACTATGCTCTAGTTGCCCTTGGGAGGTGGTGATCTTTGGGTGGTTTAAATACCCCGAAATTACCATCTCTTTTAAGGGTCTGAGTTGTGGTGCAGTGGGTTAAAGGCGTACCAGTTATGCCAGTTGCTGTAAGGCTTCTGTGCTGGCTAGGGTTCGAATCTCCTGGTGGGAAAGTGTTCTAAAGTTGTATAACTTCTCTTGCATGTTTAGGCAAGTTGTATATATATATATATATATATATATATATATATATATATATATATATATATATATATATATATATATATATATATATATATATATTCTGCTCGAAACGCTGCGCGTACTAGTGGCTTTACAAGATTGTAATTACCATATTATGTATCCTCACAATCCCAATGTACCTTCTTGTATATGCATAAATAAATAAATAAATAAATAAATATTACACGTGCCACTAAACACAACAGCATTGTGACTATTATTCATTTTCTTCTGGAAGTTTTCCACTCTACGCAAATATTTTCCGTTATCTGGAGGGTGAAGAAACACTAGATCACTTAATATTTCCATTTTTGTTTGTTCGATGTTTCGTCAGCACAGTGACAGTTTCAAGAGTACACTCTCTTACACCACTAACTTACACAGCTTGACTGAGCTTTCAAGGTTGTTGTTGTTGTTTTAGATTCAGCTGTTCGAAACAAAAATGTCCAAGTAACACGGGGTATTGTGAGCCCGTAGTGGACTTACCTGTCACAGGAGCGGGGCTGGCTAAGTACCTCGTCCTCCTATTGGTTATGATGGATAGGTTAGGTTAGGGTTGATTTCTCCATTGGATTTATTGCCATTCTCAAAGTTAGGTTAGGGTTGGTCGAGGTTATGAGTGGAGGTGCGGAGGTTTATAGAATACTATTGTGTGGAGGAGTCGGTCTGCCTCTCCCACATACACTGTCGTGTCTAAGAAGTTTATTTCCGAGCTGCTTCTCTCCAGAGTGAATGTCAGGTTACCGTGGGCCGTATTGGTCTGTGTGAAGAAGGCTTGTAGGCGATCTTCTCCACTCCCAAAATATCGTCAATGTATCTGAAATACACTAACAGGCAGTCTTCCTTCTGCATTCTCTTCCATTCAATGGCGACGTGGACGAAAATTTCAGAAATCGCCACACTACTTGAGGCCCCTATCGCCGTCCCTTTTGTCTGGCGATACGTTGTTCCGATGAACTCCAGGATGGTGTCTCTCATCACATGGAGAATGTCTTCCTCAAGTAGTTCCTTCAACGGCGTCCTCCAGACTTCTGCTTCCCGGAGGTCTGTTGTGATTCAGTATTTGTTTTCCCTCGAAGAAGGCCGCAACCGTTTTGGCAGCTTCCTTTTGTGGAATGCTCGGGTAGAGCGAGACTAAGTCTATAGAAAAAAAAGGATTATATCTTCTGGTACAGGGCCTCGTGCCTCGTTTACCTGGTTTACCTTGTTCAGGAAATCCGTTGTGTCTCCTAGCCTTTTGGGCAGGAGTTTGAGGAAGGGGTTGAGGAGCGCTGTGCAGATCCAGTCAACAGGTCTCGTGGGGCTTTACATCCGCTGAGTACTGGTCTTCACTGCCATGTTCCTGTATCTGCTAGGATTGGTTTATGGATCTTTTGGAGGAGGTAGAAACTGGGTATTATCGACTGGAATGCTGAGTAAAAATCCCTAGCTGCTGCCTGGATTAGGCCGCCCTTACCGTCCCAGCTCCTATTTTCAAATATCTTTTGGACTAACCTTCTACTCCTCGTTTGGGTATTTTTCAGGGCTGCTTCGCTGTTGAGGATCTTGGGGTATGTTTCCCCATCCGCTAGCTGACGTTCCATCTCTTTCTTGTAGTTTTCCGTTTTCCAAACTACCACTGGCCCGCCTTTGTCTGCGGGCTTTATCACTATGTCTGATCTCCCTTTTAATTAAACAAAAATCACCAAGGCTTCCCTCTCCTCTTTCGGTAGATTGTGTTACGTCTGGTTCACGCCGCTCGTTGAACTACAGGGACAATAAAATACGTTGTTGTGTAGGAGAACATGAGAGTAAACCCTATATCAAAAGGCGATCAACCAGGGTGCCTCATCAGTACCTACCATATAAGAAATAGTAATGTTTTCACCAGGTTACAAAATAAACACATGTAAAAATAATATATATATAATATTTCAAATAATATATACTCATATTTCTCAAGTAACATAATGGCACACTAATATAATTATAATATAATAAAGAGTTCTCCCACGTAAAGGACTACTAAGACAAGAAACAGAAGATAAAACAAACAGACACAACTTATCAGACCAGATGCCTCCAAGGCCCGCTGACTCAACTGGGGTCGGAGCCCCCGCTCTCGCCCCCTCACAACATGAGTGGTAAATTTACTTAAATGAGCAACATGACTGGGTTAAGGCAAACATTAAAATAACTTAAATATGAATGATCAGGTGAACATGCATCAACAGAGGTAACATTTTATATAAAGCCAATATATTTATTGAGAATAATAAAGAGGAAAAACCGGCAACTACACAGTACGAGCTTTCCTGTATTGTATCAGGAAGTTGACCCGAAACTCACACGTCCCGTACCTGTGACTTAGCAAGCCCCCCCCCCCCCCCGCTCTCTCAACTGTGTTGCCAAGACATATGATACATTACAAAACAATATATACATGCCTTCATGCAAGAACAAAACATAATAAATTATATATTGTACATTAATGTGAATATTCCTTAAATAGGAATACGTAACAGATTGGAGGCTTGCCTAGTCTTCAGCACACCCTCTAGGTCCGTCTTCAGATACTGTATTACCATATTGAGGCCCTTCGGGTTCTAGGTCGGTTGTTCTTCCTTACTGTTTGGGTGAAGATACCTGAACAAAAAGGAGAGTTTCGAGTATTGTTTAGCTTACTTCGCCCTTGCTGGTCTTGGTTTGAGTTTACTCCAGCTTTGGTCTACATTGTTCACAAGATTTTTACTCAAATCCTCGATTGTCTTTAGTCTCTTACGTTCTGCCGGCGGCCCTGCCACAGAGGTCAGACCTCTTCTCACAAGTTGTCTTTCACTGTGGGTCAAGGTTACCTGTGAGACCACCGTCTCTCTTAGTTCTTCATGCCTCTGTCTCCTTACCCTCCGTTGCCGTAATATCTCGGCCCGCCATCGTTCCACCCTCTGTCTTGTCTTCGATGGCCTCTGTATTGAGCCCGTCCCTGTTGTAGGAGTTCTACCTGTTGTTCCACCTGTTGTTGTTGTTCCTGCGCCTCCCATGATACCTGCAGCCATTGTTCTGGCCTTCCCTGTTCTAGTCTTTGGTGTTGTCGTTGTTCCTCTGTCGCCCTCCATTGTGGGGGTTCTTCCTCCAGCCTTCTCACTCCTGGTTTCTGTCTTAAAACCCCTGACCTCCATTGTTTACCCGCGCTTCTGTCCTGTCTCTCTGAGGAGGAGCGGGGGAGTTCTTGTTATTCTGCCTGCCCTCTCTGGCTTGTGCTCCCTCATCCGTTCTCTGTCTACCACAGATGAAAGCCGATGACACTGCCAAATTTGAAACTGGTCATTCACTAATCCACAAAACAATCCAACGCAGCTGAGAGTACATAACAAAACACCTCACCAAAGAAACTGGCTCACCTCAACAAAGCCCATCTACAATTGAGAGTAGCAGAAGGTCCGCCCTCGGCGTTTCAGTATCTTCAGGCCACCAAGCTAGACAGGTTAAATATCTCGAATGGAATCCGCAGGGAATTAGCAGTTCGGTTATATAGACTTCGAACAGATTACATATGCAACAGATGCAAATTGGTGAACCCAGCGAGTGGGAATACATCTTCTGGCAAACAATCACAGACAAGTCACTACTTCACTATCTCCTGGAATGTGAAACAACCAATGACCTTAGAAGAGCTTTAAGAGTCCATGAATCATGCAGTAATCACCATGAAGCCATCAACACTGCCACTCTTCTGGTCTAAAAAGGTGTCCAGCAGCTGGACACCCTCATAAATACTGTCAAGCAGTATCCTCCTCCGCGATAGCAGCCACATATTAAGGACTGACCATTTTAATACGACCTAACCACATTCACTCCAAAATATCTATCCCTTACGGGCTATTCATGCCCGTGCTACCTCTTGGGTGGCTTAATTTTCATCAATTAATCAAATTGAACGCTCAGTCTAGCTGTGTCAGTTCATCATAGTGTACTCCTGAAGATGTCACGTTGCTGACGAAACGTCGAACAATAGAAAGGGGAAGATTAAGTGATCCAGTGTTTCTTCAGCCTCCAGACGGTAGAAGACATTTGAGTAAGATGGAAAATATTAAAAAATATTGAGTAAGATGGAAAAAATAAGAAAATTAATAATAGTCATTTAATGTATTATTGAATATGATTGCATTTTTGGCGTTATTTTCTTCTTTTGGGCGTATACGTGTTTGCCTGAACAAGAATCATCTCTGACAGGTGTCTGAGGAGGGTGTGGAGGACGCTGAGATCGACTGGGCCCACGACACGCCCGTCCCCAGAGACCCGGAGTGTGGGAACAACGATGTGTGTGCTTACGTGGTTCCTGGTAGGTGTGTGTAGTCGTGGCAGGTGTGTGTGTGTGGTCGTGACAGGTGTGTGTGGTCTTGACAGGTGTGTGTGTAGTCGTGGTTGGTGTGTGTGTGGTCGTGGCAAGTGTGTGTGTGGTCATGGCAGGTGTGTGTGTGACATCGATGACAAGATCACATGTCCAGCGTGTTGTCACCGGCTCCCCTGGTGTGTGTGTGTTGTTGAGGGAGGGAGGATAACACTGTGGTTGGTGATAACACAGACAACAAGAGTGATGACAACAAGAGTGATGATAACAAGAGTGATGACAACAAGAGTGATGACAACAAGAGTGATGACAACAAGAGTGATGACAACAAGAGTGATGACAACAAGAGTGATGACAACAAGAGTGATGACAACAAGAGTGTTGACAACAAGAATGATGACAACAAGAGAGAGAGTGATGACAACAAGAGTGAGAGTGATGACAACAAGAGAGAGAGAGAGTGATGACAACAAGAGAGAGAGTGATGACAACAAGAGTGAGAGTGATGACAACAAGAGAGAGAGAGTGATGACAACAAGAGAGAGAGAGAGTGATGACAACAAGAGAGAGTGATGACAACAAGAGAGAGTGATGACAACAAGAGAGAGAGAGAGTGATGACAACAAGAGTGTTGACAACAAGAATGATGACAACAAGAGTGTTGACAACAAGAATGATGACAACAAGAGAGAGAGTGATGACAACAAGAGTGAGAGTGATGACAACAAGAGAGAGAGAGAGTGATGACAACAAGAGAGAGAGTGATGACAACAAGAGTGAGAGTGATGACAACAAGAGAGTGATGACAACAAGAGAGAGTGATGACAACAAGAGAGAGTGATAACAACAAGAGTGAGAGTGATGACAACAAGAGAGTGATGACAACAAGAGAGAGTGATGACAACAAGAGAGAGTGATGACAACAAGAGAGAGAGTGATGACAACAAGAGAGAGAGAGAGTGATGACAACAAGAGAGAGTGATGACAACAAGAGTGAGAGTGATGACAACAAGAGAGAGTGATGACAACAAGAGAGAGAGAGAGTGATGACAACAAGAGAGAGAGAGTGATGACAACAAGAGAGAGAGAGTGATGACAACAAGAGTGAGAGAGTGATGACAACAAGAGAGAGAGAGTGATGACAACAAGAGAGAGTGATGACAACAAGAGAGAGAGAGTGATGACAACAAGAGAGAGAGAGTGATGATAACAAGAGAGAGAGTGATGACTACAAGAGAGAGAGTGATGACAACAAGAGTGAGAGTGATGACAACAAGAGAGAGAGAGTGATGACAACAAGAGAGAGAGAGTGATGACAACAAGAGAGAGTGATGACAACAAGAGAGAGTGATGACAACAAGAGAGAGTGATGACAACAAGAGAGAGTGATGACAACAAGAGAGAGAGAGTGATGACAACAAGAGAGAGTGATGACAACAAGAGAGAGAGAGTGATGACAACAAGAGAGTGATGACAACAAGAGAGAGTGATGACAACAAGAGAGAGAGAGTGATAACAACAAGAGAGAGTGATGACAACAAGGGAGAGTGATGACAACAAGAGAGAGAGAGTGATAACAACAAGAGAGAGTGATGACAACAAGAGAGAGAGTGATGACAACAAGAGAGAGTGATGACAACAAGAGAGAGAGAGTGATAATAACAAGAGAGAGAGAGTGATGACAACAAGAGAGAGAGAGTGATGACAACAAGAGAGAGAGTGATGACAACAAGAGTGAGAGTGATGACAACAAGAGAGAGAGAGTGATGACAACAAGGGAGAGTGATGACAACAAGAGAGAGTGATGACTACAAGAGAGAGAGTGATGACAACAAGAGAGAGAGTGATGACAACAAGAGAGAGTGATGACAACAAGAGAGAGTGATGACTACAAGAGAGAGAGTGATGACAACAAGAGAGAGAGTGATGACAACAAGAGAGAGTGATGACTACAAGAGAGAGAGAGAGTGATGACAACAAGAGAGAGTGATGACTACAAGAGAGAGAGAGAGTGATGACAACAAGAGAGAGAGAGAGTGATGACAACAAGAGAGAGTGATGACTACAAGAGAGAGAGTGATGACAACAAGAGAGAGAGTGATGACAACAAGAGAGAGTGATGACTACAAGAGAGTGAGAGAGTCCCGCACCCATCACCAGATAAGCCTGCAGATGATGATGATAATGATGATGACGATGATAATGATGACGATGATGACGATGACGATGATGATGATGATGATGACGATGATGTCGATGATGACGATGATGACGATGACGATGATGATGACGATGATGACGATGATGATGACGATGATGATGATGACGATGATGATGATGACGATGATGATGATAATGACTATGATGTTAACGATGATGATGACGATTATATTGATGACGATGATGATGATGACGATGATGACGATGATGATGATGACGATGATTATATTGATGACGATGATGATGATGACGATGTCGATGATGACGATGATGACGATGATGATGATGACGATGATGACGATGATGATAATGATGATGATGATGATGATGACGATGACGATGATGATGACGATGACGATGATTATATTGATGACGATGATGATGATGATGACTATGATGTTAACGATGATGATGACGATGATTATATTGATGACGATGATGATGATGACGATGATGATGATGACGATGATGATGACGATGATGATGATGACGATGATGATGACGATGACGATGATGATGACGATGACGATGATGATGACGATGATGATGATGACGATGACGATGATGACGATGTTGATGATGATGATGATGATAATTATATTGATGACGATGATGATGATGATGACTATGATGTTAACGATGATGATGACGATGATTATATTGATGTTGATGATGATGATGACTATGATGTTAACGATGATGATGACGATGATGATGACGATGACGATGATGATGATGACGATGATGACTATGATGTTAACGATGATGATGACGATGACGATGATGATGACGATGATGACGATGTTGATGATGATGATGAAGATGGTGATGATGACGATGACGATGATGACGATGATGACGATGATGTCGATGATGACGATGATGACGATGTTGATGATGATGACTATGATGTTAACGATAACGATGATTATATTGATGACGATGATGATGATGATGATGATTGTTATGGCCACTATGGGTCGCAACTGGGTTCTTTGCTGGAGGAACCAAAGTACTAGTATCCGACCGCAAGTCGGTAGTGGCTTTCAAGGAGTGAGCTTGGTAATGCAAGTAAAACACAAGGGGGGGAGTTGAAAGGAATACGACACTTCATCCTTTATCAATATATTCACATATTATCACTGTCCCATCACCTGAAATAGAATCATAAAGGAAGTATTACTACACTGATCTATACACATGTGTCACTCTCATAGGACACTAAGCGCTCCTCGATGCTCATGCAATGCAGCCTGGTCAATTTCCGTGTTTCCTCGACACACAGTACCGTCCTCAACCAGTACTGGGAAACACCAACGAGTCTACCCTGGCCACGGGCCAGCCTATACACAGTCTCACTAGGTGCTCCTTGTGAACGCCCACAATCACTCTCCAGCCTGGTGCTGGCAGAGAACATCAGCCTCGCGCTGCTGGGCCTCTACACGAACACATACAAGGGTAGCTAACCCCTGGCAGGAGCTTCTTGCAACTAGCTAGTTACACTCCTCCGTAGCACCTTACTGTCAGTCGTCTCTTCCTCTAGCCAGTCCCGGGATACACCGAATTCTGTCACTGCCACTTCACAGGCAGACAGTAGAACACTTCACAGTTCCTCCTCGGCGGCGGCTCACTGCTCACGTCAAGCAGAATGGAGTAAAGAGATAATAGGCTGCCCTGGGTAGACTACCTGTCCTCGTACCACTGTAGCTCTACGTCGCCTCTGTGGATACAGACACGTCAACAGTACACTGGTCAGTACTGGGGATACAGACACGTCATCAGTACACTGGTCAGTACTGGGGACACAGACACGTCATCAGTACACTGGTCAGTACTGGGGACACAGACACGTCAACAGTACACTGGTCAGTACTGGGGATACAGACACGTCATCAGTACACTGGTCAGTACTGGGGATACAGACACGTCATTAGTACACTGGTCAGTACTGGGGATACAGACACGTCATTAGTACACTGGTCAGTACTGGGGATATAGACACGTCATCAGTACACTGGTCAGTACTGGGGACACAGACACGTCATCAGTACACTGGTCAGTACTGGGGATACAGACACGTCAACAGTACACTGGTCAGTACTGGGGATACAGACACGTCATCAGTACACTGGTCAGTACTGGGGATACAGACACGTCATCAGTACACTGGTCAGTACTGGGGATACAGACACGTCAACAGTACACTGGTCAGTACTGGGGACACAGACACGTCATCAGTACACTGGTCAGTACTGGGGATACAGACACGTCAACAGTACACTGGTCAGTACTGGGGATACAGACACGTCAACAGTACACTGGTCAGTACTGGGGATACAGACACGTCATTAGTACACTGGTCAGTACTGGGGATACAGACACGTCATTAGTACACTGGTCAGTACTGGGGATACAGACACGTCATCAGTACACTGGTCAGTACTGGGGACACAGACACGTCATCAGTACACTGGTCAGTACTGGGGATACAGACACGTCAACAGTACACTGGTCAGTACTGGGGATACAGACACGTCAACAGTACACTGGTCAGTACTGGGGATACAGACACGTCATCAGTACACTGGTCAGTACTGGGGACACAGACACGTCATTAGTACACTGGTCAGTACTGGGGATACAGACACGTCAACAGTACACTGGTCAGTACTGGGGATACAGACACGTCAACAGTACACTGGTCAGTACTGGGGATACAGACACGTCATTAGTACACTGGTCAGTACTGGGGATACAGACACGTCATTAGTACACTGGTCAGTACTGGGGATACAGACACGTCATCAGTACACTGGTCAGTACTGGGGACACAGACACGTCAACAGTACACTGGTCAGTACTGGGGATACAGACACGTCAACAGTACACTGGTCAGTACTGGGGATACAGACACGTCAACAGTACACTGGTCAGTACTGGGGATACAGACACGTCAACAGTACACTGGTCAGTACTGGGGATACAGACACGTCATTAGTACACTGGTCAGTACTGGGGATACAGACACGTCATTAGTACACTGGTCAGTACTGGGGATACAGACACGTCATCAGTACACTGGTCAGTACTGGGGACACAGACACGTCAACAGTACACTGGTCAGTACTGGGGATACAGACACGTCAACAGTACACTGGTCAGTACTGGGGATACAGACACGTCAACAGTACACTGGTCAGTACTGGGGATACAGACACGTCAACAGTACACTGGTCAGTACTGGGGATACAGACACGTCATTAGTACACTGGTCAGTACTGGGGATACAGACACGTCATTAGTACACTGGTCAGTACTGGGGATACAGACACGTCATCAGTACACTGGTCAGTACTGGGGACACAGACACGTCAACAGTACACTGGTCAGTACTGGGGATACAGACACGTCAACAGTACACTGGTCAGTACTGGGGATACAGACACGTCAACAGTACACTGGTCAGTACTGGGGACACAGACACGTCATCAGTACACTGGTCAGTACTGGGGACACAGACACGTCAACAGTACACTGGTCAGTACTGGGGATACAGACACGTCATCAGTACACTGGTCAGTACTGGGGACACAGACACGTCATCAGTACACTGGTCAGTACTGGGGATACAGACACGTCAACAGTACACTGGTCAGTACTGGGGATACAGACACGTCAACAGTACACTGGTCAGTAATGGGGACACAGACACGTCAACAGTACACTGGTCAGTACTGGGGATACAGACACGTCAACAGTACACTGGTCAGTACTGGGGATACAGACACGTCAACAGTACACTGGTCAGTACTGGGGATACAGACACGTCAACAGTACACTGGTCAGTAATGGGGACACAGACACGTCAACAGTACACTGGTCAGTACTGGGGATACAGACACGTCAACAGTACACTGGTCAGTACTGGGGACACAGACACGTCAACAGTACACTGGTCAGTACTGGGGATACAGACACGTCAACAGTACACTGGTCAGTACTGGGGACACAGACACGTCAACAGTACACTGGTCAGTACTGGGGATACAGACACGTCAACAGTACACTGGTCAGTACTGGGGACACAGACACGTCAACAGTACACTGGTCAGTACTGGGGATACAGACACGTCAACAGTACACTGGTCAGTACTGGGGATACAGACACGTCAACAGTACACTGGTCAGTACTGGGGACACAGACACGTCAACAGTACACTGGTCAGTACTGGGGATACAGACACGTCATCAGTACACTGGTCAGTACTGGGGATACAGACACGTCAACAGTACACTGGTCAGTACTGGGGATACAGACACGTCAACAGTACACTGGTCAGTACTGGGGACACAGACACGTCAACAGTACACTGGTCAGTACTGGGGACACAGACACGTCAACAGTACACTGGTCAGTACTGGGGATACAGACACGTCAACAGTACACTGGTCAGTACTGGGGATACAGACACGTCAACAGTACACTGGTCAGTACTGGGGATACAGACACGTCAACAGTACACTGGTCAGTACTGGGGATACAGACACGTCAACAGTACACTGGTCAGTACTGGGGATACAGACACGTCAACAGTACACTGGTCAGTACTGGGGATACAGACACGTCAACAGTACACTGGCCAGTACTGGGGATACAGACACGTCAACAGTACACTGGTCAGTACTGGGGATACAGACACGTCAACAGTACACTGGCCAGTACTGGGGATACAGACACGTCAACAGTACACTGGCCAGTACTGGGGATACAGACACGTCAACAGTACACTGGTCAGTACTGGGGATACAGACACGTCAACAGTACACTGGCCAGTACTGGGGACACAGACACGTCAACAGTACACTGGTCAGTACTGGGGATACAGACACGTCAACAGTACACTGGTCAGTACTGGGGATACAGACACGTCATCAGTACACTGGTCAGTACTGGGGATACAGACACGTCATCAGTACACTGGTCAGTACTGGGGATACAGACACGTCATCAGTACACTGGTCAGTAATGGGGATACAGACACGTCAACAGTACACTGGTCAGTAATGGGGACACTGGGAAATACCACTTACAGACTCTGATATAAACATACAACTCCCACAATAGATGGCGCTGATTTCTAGGCGCCACCTCACCAGAGGGTTCGTAACAATGATGATGATGACGATGACTATGATGATGATGATGACTATGATTATGACGATGACTATGACTATGATGATGATGATGACTATGATGATGACGATGATGATGACTATGATGATGATGATGATTATGATGATGACGATGATGATGACAATGATGATAATGACGATGATGATGATGCAGCAGCCTCCGTGCCCACAGGTATCAGACTGGCCCCGGGGTATGTGGTGATGATCGTGGTGACGGTGGTGCTCCTCCTGGCCGCCTGCTGCGCCTCTGCTGCTGTGTTGAGGTGGGTCCTGGCCCTCACTACACCACCAGCAGCATGTCCTTCACTACACCACCACCAGCAGGTCCCTCACTACACCGCCAGCAGCATGTCCTTCACTACACCACCACCAGCAGGTCCCTCACTACACCCCCAGCAGGTCCCTCACTACACCCCCAGCAGGTCCCTCACTACACCCCCAGCAGGTCCTTCACTACACCCCCAGGAGGTCCCTCACTACACCACCACCAGCAGGTCCCTCACTACACCACCACCAGCAGGTCCTTCACTACACCACCACCAGCAGGTCCCTCACTACACCACCACCAGCAGGTCCCTCACTACACCACCAGCAGGTCCTTCACTACACCACCACCAGCAGGTCCCTCACTACACCACCACCAGCAGGTCCCTCACTACACCACCAGCAGGTCCTTCACTACACCACCACCAGCAGGTCCTTCACTACACCACCAGCAGGTCCTTCACTACACCACCAGCAGGTCCCTCACTACACCACCACCAGCAAGTCCTTCACTACACCACCACCAGCAGGTCCCTCACTACACCACCAGCAGCAGGTCCTTCACTACACCACCAGCAGGTCCCTCACTACACCACCAGCAGGTCCCTCACTACACCACCAGAAGGTCCCTCACTACACCACCACCAGCAGGTCCCTCACTACACCACCACCAGCAGGTCCCTCACTACACCACCACCAGCAGGTCCCTCACTACACCACCACCAGCAGGTCCCTCACTACACCACCAGCAGGTCCCTCACTACACCACCACCAGCAGGTCCTTCACTACACCACCACCAGCAGGTCCTTCACTACACCACCACCAGCAGGTCCCTCACTACACCCCCAGCAGGTCCCTCACTACACCACCAGCAGGTCTCTCACAACACCACCACCAGCAGGTCCTTCACTACACCACCACCAGCAGGTCCCTCACTACACCACCAGCAGGTCCCTCACTACACCACCACCAGCAGGTCCTTCACTACACCCCCAGCAGGTCCTTAACTACACCCCCAGCAGGTCCCTCACTACACCACCAGCAGGTCCCTCACTACACCACCAGCAGGTCCTTCACTACACCACCAGCAGGTCCTTCACTACACCACCACCAGCAGGTCCCTCACTACACCACCAGCAGGTCCCTCACTACACCACCAGCAGGTCCCTCACTACACCACCAGCAGGTCCCTCACTACACCACCAGCAGGTCCTTCACTACACCACCAGCAGGTCCTTCACTACACCACCAGCAGGTCCCTCACTACACCACCAGCAGGTCCCTCACTACACCACCAGCAGGTCCCTCACTACACCACCAGCAGGTCCTTCACTACACCACCAGCAGGTCCTTCACTACACCCCCAGCAGGTCCCTCACTACACCACCAGCAGGTCCCTCACTACACCACCAGCAGGTCCTTCACTACTCCCCCAGCAGCAGGGCCCTCACTACACCCCCAGCAGGTCCCTCACTACACCACCAGCAGGTCCCTCACTACACCCCCAGCAGCAGGGCCCTCACTACACCCCCAGCAGGTCCTTCACTACTCCACCAGCAGCAGGGCCCTCACTACACCCCCAGCAGGTCCTTCACTACTCCCCCAGCAGCAGGGCCCTCACTACACCCCCAGCAGGTCCTTCACTACACCCCCAGCAGGTCCCTCACTACACCCCCAGCAGCAGGGCCCTCACTACACCCCCAGCAGGTCCTTCACTACTCCCCCAGCAGCAGGGCCCTCACTACACCCCCAGCAGGTCCTTCACTACTCCCCCAGCAGGTCCCTCACTACACCCCCAGCAGGTCCTTCACTACTCCCCCAGCAGCAGGGCCCTCACTACACCCCCAGCAGGTCCTTCACTACTCCTCCAGCAGGTCCCTCACTACACCCCCAGCAGCAGGGCCCTCACTACACCCCCAGCAGGTCCTTCACTACTCCCCCAGCAGGGCCCTCACTACACCCCCAGCAGGACCTTCACTACTCCCCCAGCAGCAGGTCCCTCACTACACCCCCAGCAGGTCCTTCACTACTCCCCCAGCAGCAGGGCCCTCACTCCACCCCCAGCAGGTCCTTCACTACACCACCAGCAGGTCCTTCACTACACCCCCAGCAGGTCCCTCACTACACCACCAGCAGGTCCTTCACTACACCACCAGCAGGTCCCTCACTACACCCCCAGCAGGTCCTTCACTACACCCCCAGCAGGTTCTTCACTACTCCCCCAGCAGCAGGTCCTTCACTACACCACCAGCAGGTCCTTCACTACACCACCACCAGCAGGTCCCTCACTACACCACCACCAGCAGGTCCTTCACTACACCACCAGCAGGTCCTTCACTACACCACCACCAGCAGGTCCCTCACTACACCACCAGCAGGTCCTTCACTACACCACCACCAGCAGGTCCCTCACTACACCACCACCAGCAGGTCCCTCACTACACCACCACCAGCAGGTCCCTCACTACACCACCAGCAGGTCCCTCACTACATCACCAGCAGGTCCCTCACTACACCACCAGCAGGTCCTTCACTACACCACCAGCAGGTCCTTCACTACACCACCACCAGCAGGTCCTTCACTACACCACCACCAGCAGGTCCCTCACTACACCACCACCAGCAGGTCCTTCACTACACCACCACCAGCAGGTCCCTCACTACACCACCACCAGCAGGTCCTTCACTACACCACCAGCAGGTCCTTCACTACACCACCACCAGCAGGTCCCTCACTACACCACCAGCAGGTCCTTCACTACACCACCACCAGCAGGTCCCTCACTACACCACCACCAGCAGGTCCCTCACTACACCACCACCAGCAGGTCCCTCACTACACCACCAGCAGGTCCTTCACTACACCACCACCAGCAGGTCCTTCACTACACCACCACCAGCAGGTCCCTCACTACACCACCACCAGCAGGTCCTTCACTACACCACCAGCAGGTCCTTCACTACACCACCAGCAGGTCCCTCACTACACCACCAGCAGCAGGTCCTTCACTACACCACCAGCAGGTCCTTCACTACACCCCCAGAAGGTCCCTCACTACACCACCAGCAGGTCCCTCACTACACCACCAGCAGGTCCCTCACTACACCACCAGCAGGTCCCTCACTACACCACCAGCAGGTCCCTCACTACACCACCAGCAGGTCCCTCACTACACCACCAGCAGGTCCCTCACTACACCACCAGCAGGTCCTTCACTACACCCCCAGCAGGTCCTTCACTACACCCCCAGCAGGTCCCTCACTACACCACCAGCAGGTCCCTCACTACACCCCCAGCAGGTCCTTCACTACACCACCAGCAGGTCCCTCACTACACCCCCACCAGCAGGTCCCTCACTACACCACCAGCAGGTCCCTCACTACACCACCAGCAGGTCCTTCACTACACCACCACCAGCAGGTCCCTCACTACACCACCAGCAGGTCCTTCACTACACCACCAGCAGGTCCCTCACTACACCACCAGCAGGTCCTTCACTACACCCCCACCAGCAGGTCCTTCACTACACCACCAGCAGGTCCCTCACTACACCACCACCAGCAGGTCCTTCACTACACCACCAGCAGCAGGTCCCTCACTACACCACCACCAGCAGTTCCTTCACTACACCCCCAGCAGGTCCCTCACTACACCACCACCAGCAGGTCCCTCACTACACCACCACCAGCAGGTCCCTCACTACACCACCAGCAGGTCCCTCACTACACCACCACCAGCAGGTCCCTCACTACACCACCAGCAGGTCCTTCACTACACCCCCAGCAGGTCCTTCACTACACCACCAGCAGGTCCTTCACTACACCACCACCAGCAGGTCCCTCACTACACCACCAGCAGGTCCCTCACTACACCACCACCAGCAGGTCCTTCACTACACCACCAGCAGGTCCCTCACTACACCACCACCAGCAGGTCCCTCACTACACCACCAGCAGGTCCCTCACTACACCACCCCCAGCAGGTCCTTCACTACACCACCAGCAGGTCCCTCACTACACCACCACCAGCAGGTCCTTCACTACACCACCAGCAGGTCCTTCACTACACCACCACCAGCAGGTCCCTCACTACACCACCAGCAGGTCCCTCACTACACCACCACTAGCAGGTCCCTCACTACACCACCAGCAGGTCCTTCACTACACCACCAGCAGGTCCCTCACTACACCACCACCAGCAGGTCCCTCACTACACCACCAGCAGGTCCCTCACTACACCACCCCCAGCAGGTCCTTCACTACACCACCAGCAGGTCCCTCACTACACCACCACCAGCAGGTCCCTCACTACACCACCAGCAGGTCCTTCACTACACCACCAGCAGGTCCCTCACTACACCACCAGCAGGTCCTTCACTACACCACCAGCAGGTCCTTCACTACACCACCAGCAGGTCCTTCACTACACCCCCAGCAGGTCCTTCACTACACCACCACCAGCAGGTCCCTCACTACACCACCACCAGCAGGTCCTTCACTACACCACCACCAGCAGGTCCCTCACTACACCACCAGCAGGTCCTTCACTACACCACCAGCAGGTCCTTCACTACACCACCAGCAGGTCCCTCACTACACCACCAGCAGGTCCTTCACTACACCACCAGCAGGTCCTTCACTACACCCCCAGCAGGTCCTTCACTACACCACCACCAGCAGGTCCCTCACTACACCACCAGCAGGTCCTTCACTACACCACCACCAGCAGGTCCTTCACTACACCACCAGCAGGTCCTTCACTACACCACCAGCAGGTCCCTCACTACACCCCCAGCAGGTCCCTCACTACACCACCAACACGTCCCTCACTACACCACCAGCAGGTCCCTCACTACTCCCGCAGCAGCAGGGCCCTTACTACACTCCCAGCAGGTCCCTCACTACACCACCAGCAGGTCCCTCACTACACCACCAGCAGGTCCCTCACTACACCACCAGCAGGTCCCTCACTACACCACCAGCAGGTCCCTCACTACT